TTATTATTTCCAGTGCCATTACTAGATGATTATTTGGTACCGGACCACACGTGGAATCACATGGATTTACTGTGGGCCAGGGAGGCTGGTCGATATGTGAATACTAGGGTAATGAAAATTCTGAATACATCAATGTAAAATTAATAGATAGAAGTATAAAATAAAATATGAATAATAAATAATTTTGCTTTTAATTATAAAATAATTTATAAATGAAATAATTTATTCTTAAGCTATTTCCACAAAAATTACAAAAACCCAAATTAAATTAGTTTTTATATAATATATGAATATATGAGACACTACCAAAGATATGTGCTTGAATATTTGCCGTAGCAACCCATGACTACTCAAATATAATTTATTTCTTTCAATAAAAATTAATCTATTTAAGAAATACCGGAAAAATACATTATATGCTAATAAACACTTACAAATAAAAGCCAATCATTATTTAATGCATATTTAATTATATGGAAACTTAGAAAAACCACTTTTTAAAATGAATTTTCATAGTAATATACAAAGTTGTGTGTAATGTTAATGTGTTAGTTTGCTTATAATGATTAATGTTTGCCTAATGTGCTATTTTATTAAACTAACATACCGCTACATCACTATCAAAACTATTTCGTAAACAATTTATCAGTTGCTTAAATATTGAGTGTTTAATCAAATCAAGGTTAATCAATGTTTACTATGAATTGAATTGAGTACATATTTGAGTACAGTATTTTATTATTTTCTTATGTTTAAAAAATAAATAATAAAATAATTATGATTTTAATATAATTATTAATTAATATTGGTTATAATTTGAAATATTAATATCATCAACTATGTTGTGTTATAATATTTTGGTGATCATATTAGTTGCTCTAGCTGCAATATATTTTTTACCAGTATGTGATCATATAATTGCCTTAATTAAATCAAATGAAGATATTGACCGAGATACAGTAAGCAAAATTATTTCATTAAATTACATAATTTTTACATGTTACATTAAATAATATTTATTAGTATCATTCGTACAAATAAATTAAAATTTTCTTGTTAGAAATAAAATAATTATAAAAATAAAAATTTAATAAGACCCTGTTCTTAATCATATTACAAAGGCACAAATTATAGAGTCCCGGGGCTTTCGGGCTGAAAACCATTACATAACTACCGGTGATGGATATATACTGTCATTTACCCGAATAGTCAACCCTCGCGTCACCGACCGCTCAAAACTACGGCCCATAATATTACAGCATGGCTTTCAGGCCAATGCCGACATGTGGCTCATTAACTCCATGGGAAGGCTCAACGATAAGGGCCAGTGGGTCGAGGATAATAACAACGGCCCGGTAGGCAATACCCTGGGCTTTGTTTTGGCAGTTAATGGTTATGATGTCTGGTTAGCTAATATGAGGGGAAATATATATTCACAAAATCACACCGAGTTTAAAATTGATGGTTTGTGTTCATTCAATTAATGTTATATAAATAGTTTTTAATTATCCATGTTAAATTTTTCAAAGTCTACATGTCCCTCATTATTTATACTAATTAACTATAGATCCAAGATTCTGGAGATTTTCCGTCGATGAGATGATTGATTATGACTTACCGGCGATGATATCATACATACAAAAGGAGACCCAAAAAGGTTTTAAAACTATTATTAAGTATTTAAAAAATATATTCAAATAATATTTTTGTTTATATTATTAATAAATTTTTCAATTTCAGAGAAAATATCATTTATTGGCCACTCCCAAGGTGGTCTGATAATGTATGGCCTTTTAGCTAGTCAACCACACTACTCCAATATAATTGAACCTGCTATATTAATAGCAACTGTCCCATATCTTGGTAACACTACAACACCGTTATTTGTTTATGGCAAACACTTATTATCTTTTTTCAAGTAATCATAATTTTAAATTATATTCCTAATTAAATGGCATTATGATTATCATTAAATCATTATATAAATGACCTTATCCATTCAGGGACTCGGAGACACCATTCCTACTGTTACCTAAATTTAGGAAATCATTGGGACACCTGTGCGACTCGTCATTTATATCACGATATATTTGCTACACATTTATCAAGTTGACATTGGGATTTCAACAGGATCAGTGGAATTTTGTATTATTCAATTATTACCTTTTTTAATTCCCTTAACCTTTGGTTTTTCATATGAATAATAAACAATAACAATTTATTATGTGATATACAGACTCGAACAGGTGTTTACATATCAACAATGATTTCGGGCTCCAGTAGTCGGAACGTTGAGCACATCCATCAAATTATTAATGCAATCCGTTTTCAACGTTATGACTACGGGGATAATNCCAGTAGTCGGAACGTTGAGCACATCCATCAAATTATTAATGCAATCCGTTTTCAACGTTATGACTACGGGGATAATGAGACAAATACCCAAAAATATCAGTCCCAGGTACCCCCACCCTATGATATGTCCGCAATTAACTCAACTAACATAGCGCTCATATATACGGCTAATGATTGGATGATTACTTTACCGGACCTACAAAAACTTAAGGGTCATCTCAAAGGTAATTTTTAAACCTTGGTGTTTATTTTAAAACTTAAAAATTGTATCATCATATACAATTGTACTCCAATATATTTATTTTAGTAAAATTGTTAGACGATTATATGGTACCTGAGATGACTTGGAACCATAATGAACCATTGTTGGGCAGGGAAGCAGGTATATATGTCAATACCAGGATATTAGATATTTTACGAATGACAGGGTTAAATTAATTTTGTTATATAAAAATAAATAAAAATACACAGTACTACGGTAGTACTACTACCTGATGTATTGATAAATTACAATTTAATTTTAATATAATTATTATACAATAATATGTACAGTACTAACGATAGTTAGCAATATAATAACATTAGATATATATCCTCAATTTTACATACAATATGTTAACTTAACTTAATAGATTTTGTCATAATAATAATTTTATTAAGTGATATTACTATTATTTATATAACCTTAATGGGGTATATTAATTAAACATTTGTTGCCGGGTGATATTATTTTAATAATAAAAACAAACATATTTACTATATTATTGTCCATTAGCTTTTAAAATTTAATCTTGATAAAGTACAAAGCACTGTAATTTATATAAAACATGCATGCAGTACAAAACATAATTACATAACTATTATAAATTGTATTTTCGTTGCTATTAATATAAAATACATTATAATAAAAATTATTATTATAAATAGAAAATAAAATTGTTTTTTCATAACCTAATAAAATATAAAAATATATGCTTGATTTTTGGTTTTAAAATATGAAAATTAAAATTAGTTTTAATAAATTATTCACAATTGTGTCGTATATGTTATGTTTGTCTGGATGTTTGTATCAAACGTATAAATTAAGTGAAATATACTTTTCATACGAAACCACTACTAATGTGTTATATGAATCAAAATTATCCGGTTTAAACACTTACCCAGCTTTAACAATTTGTTGGCTTAAATGGGATATATTACAATATAATATCACCTCGATGAGACAACTAATTAAAATGCCGATAAGAAAACAATTTGACATGTTAGCTCAATGGGAAATTAATCTAAAATACGATTTAAATTTTAATCATGGCCATTATATTGACCTGGATGAGTGGGATACCCATTCACTTAATCGTCTCTATTATTGCTTGACTATTAGCCCTAAGAAAATTATACAAACTAAAATTAATTACGAAAATATAGCTATAAATTTACAATTTTTTAAAAATTATGTTAACCATTTTAAAGATATACGAGTTACCATGCACCATGGTGACCGTCGAATTTATTACCCAGTTCAAAACACTACATTAACATTGAATTATACTAAAAATACTCGAGTCAATATAAATTACAAACACACTATTATATCGTATAAATCAAACATATTTAGTAAACAATGTTTCACTGGAAACCATA